TACATTCTTCTAGAATACGGCCTCACAGCCCGAAAAACCCACAAAAACTGCTGAACCCTCTCCCAGCACTGACTGAGAGATCCTCTGCATTAATAACCTCCTCATTAATAAGCCTCATTAATCACGCCTGTCTTCTTGGCCACACTCCAGTGTTGCCTGGTCACACATGTCCACATTTTCATCATCTGTGAAATATTGGAGGGTATGTGCAGATCATGCATTGAGCCAGGGACTAAACTCAATGGCCCATGAGGCCCCTTCCAACTCTATGGGCTTTTGCAGACTGCCAGAAATAGTGCAAATTGAGTCCACTTTAAGGGTTAGGGTTAGGGTTAGGGAATCATGGGAACTGTAGTTTATTGTGGTACCAGAGCTCTCTGACAGAGAAGGTTCAATGTCTCAGAAAAAAACAAATTCCCATGACTCCCTAGCACTAACCGTAACCCTTAAAGTGGACTCAATTTGCACTATTTCTGGCAGTCTGCAATAGTAATATGATTTTATGATTCAGTCACCCTGTCTGCACTGCAGAAATAATCCAGTTTCACATCACTTTAACTGCCATGGCTCAATGCTATGGAATTCTGGGAATTGTCGTTTGTTGTGGCACCAGAGCTCTCTGACAGAGGAGACTAATGTCTCACAGAACTACAACAAAATTCCATAGCACTGAGCAAAAGCAGTTAAAGCAGTGTCGAATTGGGTTATCTCTGCAGTGCAGATGCAGCCTATATACCCTAAACTGGGTATGTTTAGTCTGGAGAAGAGACGGTTAAGAGGGGATATGATAGCCCTCTTTAAATATTTGAAGGGATGTCATATTGAAGAAGGAGCTACCGTAGATTGTTTTCTGCTGCCCCAGAGAATAGGACTCGGAGCAATGGATGCAAGCTACAGGAAAAGAGATTCCACCTCAACATTAGGAGGAACTACCTGACAATGAGAGCTGTTCGACAGTGGAATACATTCCCTCGGAGATTTTGGTGGAGTCTCCTTCTTTGGAGGACATTAAACAGAGGCTGGATAGCCATCTGTCGGGGATGCTTTGATTTTGAGTTCCTGCATGGCCGGGGGTTGGACTGGATGGCCCTTGGGGTCTCTTCCAACTCTAGGACTCGATGATTCTGTATTCTCTTCTCTTTATCCCCTTAGCTTGCGATGCTTGACCTTTCCCACCTTTTCTTGACTAGCTCCTTTCCAAATTCTTCCTCTCCCTTTCCTTCATGAGAAGGGATGGATGTGTTCCTCCCATCCATGCTGCCCTTAATGCCACTACTGGGGCTTTCCCCAGCACAGCTCCTAGGAAATATTGTTGCTCAAACATTCTCACCAAGTATGAAGAAGCAGACAAGTACATGTGCCTTTTGCATCTATCTGGTGCTGCAGTTTCCCAGCCAGGCCTTTTCCCAAACAAGGGTTACTGTGTCACAAGACACCAGATGCTGGTTACGGCTGCTTTTAATTTCAGACTCGACTTATTACTCATCATTTCCCTTCCATCTCTTTCACTGATGTCACCCAACAGAGAACAGCACCTGCCAAACAGCTGGATCCAAAGGAAGCAGTCACCAAAACACAGCAGCATAAGCGGAAAAGAGTTGGAAAACACGAAGCAGGAGCAGCTGGAAGAGAGAGACCATTGCAGGAACTAAAGCAGGAATGCCATAAACTGTAGACTGTAATTCCTACAATTCCTGACTGTCAACTGTTGGTGAGGTTGCTGGGAACTATAGTCCAAGGCATCTGGAGAGTCAAAAATTTCCTACTCTAGAATTAAAGGATGAATATTCTGTGCCTAAGAAAACCCCATGAAATTCATGGGGTCACCATCAGTCGACAGATGACTTGAAGGCACATGCGCACAAAGTCTGTCTAGAATTACATATTTGCCCACGTTTTACAGATGAAAAGCAGGACATGTGTGGCCAAGCAACATCAGAGTGTGGTTAGGATGGCAAAAGTTATTGATGAGGAAGAACTACTGCAGTAGCTTGCTTTTGCCTGAGTCTCCTGGGAAGGAGACTTCCTGTTCTCTCCTCCTTGCTGAATTAGATGACTGAAAACTACTTTTGCACTCTGAACTGAGTTTGCAGCAATGGAACTATCATGGATTCATAGAGTTGGAAGAGACCCCAAGGGCCATCCAGTCCAACCCCATTCTGCCATGCAGGAACTCAACATCAAAGCATCCCTGACAGATGGCCATCCAGCCTCTGTTGAAGTAAGATGAGGACAAAGGGTAAAAGTGGGAGGAGGAGAGAGAAGCTGGGACTTTTTAAAAGCAGCAGATAAGTGGGGTGATAGAGGATTCATTGTGGGAGCCAGTGTGGCATAGTGGTTTGTGTGTCGGATTACAGCTCTGGAAAACAGGGTTCAATTCTCTGGTCAGCCATGAAAACCCACTGGGTTAACTTCGGCAAGTCACACTCTCTCAGCCTTAGAGGATGGCAATGGCAAACTCCCTTTTGAAGAAACTTGCTAAGAAACCCCCATGATAGGTTTGCTTTAGGGTCAGCATTAGGACCAATGTAAAGTGATGTAAATGTAAATACTTTTAGGCTGTGCGTATGATGTTGTAACTTAAAGATGTAATGTAATATACAGGAATTATGGTCTATGCATAACAGTATAAACAAACCTTAGGTTTCCTTTGACTCTTTGTGGTCTGGTACAGGAGGAGATCTGTAGGTTTACCATGATTTACTGCTTGGGGTGAAACCAACTCTAGTGATGCCACTGCTCCGATGTGTTCTTCAAGGACTCTGTTCCCCCTTTTTATGAGTAATTTTTAAGTAGGCTTGGAATGGATGGCACACTTTCAAATATATGACTTCTGATCTGAATATTATTCTGAACTAGCCAACAGCCATACTGATTGGGGATAATGGGGATAGTATCACAGCACACCTGGAAGGCAGCACTGTAATTGCTGAATTTGAATTCTTTTGGAGTTGAAGTGGTGGTAAAGGAAGGTCAGTGTTATTCAGGCTTATCTCGATTAGAGATGCCAAAGTCCAGCAGCACACACAGCATAATGCTTACACTAACAAGTTCCTAGTCCTGAACAATTTGTCCAAGTCCAGTTTCTAAAAGTGTGCAGAAACATTCAGTCCTCTCAATCATGTCTGCATAAGGAACATACCCTCCAATGTACCACCAGTGAAAAAAGAGACTTGCTAACAACCCACAAAGCATACCAAGGATCACAGCCAGAGGGATTCCCCTTGCTGAACGTTACAAAATGTTGGAGGCTTTTCTCTGACTCTTAAAAGCTCTGTTCGTTCACTTTGCAGCAGCCGGTCCTGCACTGGCTTCTGAAGTATGGTTTGCACAAATAATTGAACAAAATGTTTAATCTCCTTGGTGAATGTAGTAGTGTGTCTTGCTGCTTGCATTCACCAACTTTAATTATCCGGGGACTTAACCCTCCTCACTCCCAGTTCATCTGGATTGAGCTCCCACCACCACCGCAGATCACTTTTCAAAAGCAATCCACACAGTTTCTCCTTGTGTGAATGGCATCAGTTCACCTCTCAAAGGAAAGGGGGGAAAGGCTGAGTCTTCAAAGGCACCACCAATGCACATCCCACACTTTCAAAATGAAGCTATAAGGGAAAACCCAAACTTTTTGGGTTGCTGCTGGTAATGGATACTCATATCTATTGGGGCCAGTGGGTGGGAAGCAGGGTTAGTAGATCCAAAGGGACTACAAGAGGCAAAGCCAACTAGGGTTGCATCCGACCTGCAGAAATAATCCAGGCTGAACACTAGTTTAACTGTGTCAATCTTGATTATTTCTGTAGTTTGGATGCAGTCCAGGTCTAAGTTTGCTACTCAATGCTTTGCAAGTTCTAAGTCAGGGGTCGGCAAAGTATGGCCCGGGGGCCAAACCCGGCCCCTCGAGGCCTTTCAACCGGCCCGTGGCAGGTCCTGCCGCCACTGCTGCCGCCGCACGCACAATGCGGGTCGCCATTTTGTGTTCCAAAATGGTGCTCGCGTACGCATGCACACTACTCCCAGCATCGTATGCATGTGTGCGCGAGCGCAGGTGCCATTTTGGAACACAAAATGGTGCCCCGCACTCGTGCATGCATGCGCACAACGCCAGGAGTAGTGTGCATACATGCACAAGCGTGCATGCACGCGCACCTTCAGCACCATTTTTTTTGTCCTTTGGCCCGCCGATGATCTGGGGAACAGCGGAACCACCCCACCCCCACAAAAAAGGTATGTATACAGGCTGGTTACGTTTTTTGTCCTTCCACTGCTGGTGAAGTAGGTGGTGCCCATTGGAACAAATAGTAAGACCATGCCCTTTCATATTTTACCAAAGAAAACCTGGGGCGTGTGGTGTCAAGCAACATCAAAGTGTTGTCAAAAGTTCTTAATGAGGAAGACCCCAAAAGTTAGGAGAGAGTGCAGCAGTTTGGTTTTGTCTGAGTCTACTGGAAAGGGCAAGATTCTGCTTCCTCCTGTCCTCTCCTCCCTTCTGAGCTAATTGAGGACAAACTACTTTTCCACTTTGAACTCAGTTTGTAGCCACTGAAGTCAGCTGAAGAGGAAACATGGGAGGAAGAGAGTGAAATGGGGGGGGGTTGCTTTGATTTTGAGTTCCTGCATGGCAGGGGGTTGGACTGGATGGCCTTTGTGGTCTCTTCCCACTCTATGATTCTAGGATTCTATGGGACAGTTTAAGAGCAGCTGAAAAGTTGGACAACAGAGGATTACTCAGGAGTGTCCCTGCTAAATTGGTGCAGTTGGAGGGAAAGTAACACTGCCTCTTAAGTTCCTGTCCAAAGCTATACAGATACCAATAGTACCACATAAAAGATTGATGTCTACATGGGCTCCAGAATGGGATAGGAGGGTTTGAGACCCCCTAATGTTAGGTGTGTGTGTTTGATCTGACAAAATAATCTGGCAAAGCTGGAACACCAAGACTCCTCTGTAGTTAAACCTGCTCAGGAATTATCAATGAGAAGTGTACTAAACAATCACGCACTAAGAAGTATTAAAACATGATTGTCATCGAGCCCTCCCAGGAATAATAAGCACTGCCTGTGGTCTATCCTATGCACACGATTTGGGTCTATCCAATGCACACTTACCACTTCTATGGCAGCTCTAGGTATGCATTTTGCTCATAAGAGTCTTAATATTTCAGAATCTTTCTTGTGATAATGGACAGGAAAATTAATTTTCTCTCCCCAAATATCTGCACTTAGGCAAAATTAATAATAACCTGCAAACCAGTGTTGAGTCAGGGCATTGTCAGAGTCCCAAAGGGTTTTGGTTCTGTCGTTATGGATGAAGTTGGGAAATGAATATTTAAAGTCTGTATTGGTTATGTTATATGTATTAGACAAGTTTGAATTTTGGCACCGTTTTCAGAGAACAGTTGGGAGGAGTTTTACTGCAGTTGCCAGGCAGAAATCATAAGGCTGCATACCAGTTACCAGGCAGAAATCAAATGGTTACATTACAGTTACCAGGCATAAAACAAAAGGTTGTAGTACAGTTAGCAGGCAGAAATCAAATGGTTACATTGCAGTTACCAGAAGTCAAAATGTTACATTGGAAACAGGTGAGGCTAGGTGGCTCCAGTCTAAATATAGTGACAAGAGGGCAGGGAAGGTTATTACCAACCTAAACACTGGCTGATCACTATTGTCCTTGGTCTGCAATAAAGTACAAATAAAGTCTCCAAATTTCTAGCATTGTGGTAACTGCCAAATTCAGTTGAGTTCATCCTAAGAAAAGGGGCAGGCAAAGTTGCCAAGGGAATGCTAATAAGGCAGCAAATGTAAGTCTTTTAGAGGTGAACAGTTTTTGGTGTCTGCAATGCTAAAAATTTGGGGACTAAAGAAAAAATTAATTTGGTGGGACAAAATTCTTATGGGGGAGGAATTTTTGGTTGCCCTATACTTAGGCACAACCCTGCTGAGCCTAATGCAGACCCAGGGGCCCTATGTGTTTGCCACTGGTGTCTTCTCTGATTAGAAGCTGGAAAACCAATTTTGCCTGCTTGCATTTCTAAGGGGAGATGCAGACGGGTGGCTGTGGGCCACCCTGAGAAGCAGAGGAATGGGGCCGAGGCTGCCCCACGCCTTGGCCCCAATCCTGCCTTCTGCTGGCCCTGAAAGGAGCGCTAAAATGCTGCTCCATTTGAAGCCGGCAGAAGGGACACATCAAGAGCCACCATGCGGCTCTTCTGCAGCTCTTCCGGTGCAGCATGTCAAGACGCTGCTCTGGAAGGACGTTTTGATGGCGCACACCATGCGTAATGGCATGCGCCGTCATGACATCCTCGGGGAGGAGTTGGGGCGGCCGGCATGTCACTGCCCCTCCCCTTCCCTGCCTCTCTAGAGGCCCAAAGATGGTAAGCCTAAACTGGGAGCCTAGAAATCACAATTTGGAAAAGTTCATATTTTTAACCTATAGCTTCTAGAATCCCCCAGCCATCAGGGACAGGGACTGTGTTGGTTGAGAAGAACCTGAGTGTTGCAGTCCAAGAAAGAAACTTCCCCAAGGTGTGCTGGAAAGCTACCTCTCCCCTCTTGTACCAGTCTGATCTGATCATCTCTTGCATCAATTTTCCCACTTTTATATAGTGTATGCTATTGTATGCGTGTAATGGAGCACTTGGGCAAGTCACATTCTCTCTGCCTCAGAAGAAGACAAAGGCAAACTCCCTCCGAATAACTCTTATCAAGAAAACACCATGGACTTTATCACATAGGTGGCAGTTCCATCTTTCAAAAGATAATAAAGTGCAAATAAACCATCCCAAAAATAAAGCAAAAATAGTGTTTAATTGTGCAAATGAACATCACATGCAATTAGAATAAATGCATAATAACGCAAAAAGTGAAAAAAAGGATCACCATAAGTCAGAAATGACTTGATGGCACACAGCAACAATTGTTGTGATTGTGTTTATTCTTCAGTTATTCAGGGCTACTCACCTGAGATGTGAGAAGTGTTACTGAGACAAATTTCTTTGGCTGGACTTGTTAAGTCATTACTTTATCCTCTGCTTTCCATCAGTGGCAACAGCCCAACCCAGAGACTGCAACAAACTGTGACTTTGGCTAAAGATGAAAATACCAAAAAGGCCAATACAGATATTTCTTTCCTTTCCTCTGTTTCTGCTGTATAGCTTCAAGTTGTTTCTAAGTTATGGCAATCCTAAGGTAAATGTGTAATGGAATTTTCTTGGCAAGATTTGTTCAGACAGATTTTGCTATTCCTGGGAGGCTGAGAGAGGGTGACTTACCCAAGGTAACCCAGTGGGTTTCCATGGCTGAGCAGGGATTTGAACCCTGGTTTCCCAGAGTCCTAGTCCAACTCTCAAATCACTATGAGTAGCTTGCAGGTTTTGGATGACTACAT